GTCAAGGACTACTTTGTGCGGGTCCAGCACGTTCTGGTCGTCGTCGTCAGCGCCGCCGTCGTCGTCGTTTTCAGCCACAAAAACGTAGTCGGAATGCGCGTTTTTGGCGTCACGCTCATCGCTGGAACGGAAGTCGCGTGGAATCACTTCGTCCTTCACGAGTGCCCGCACCTCCGCGGGGTTGTAACGATGAATGACGTCGACGATGTCGTTTTTGTTGAATGAGCGCTTCGAGACCAAAACGACATCGCCCTGCCCAATCCACACTTTCCGCACCATGGCACCACGAATGGAGCCAATCGCCTTGCTGCCATCCGCCAGCTGCAGCTCAAGCCGCAGGTTCCCTAACGCCTTCTTCACCTGCGCGTATTCCTCACCCTCCTGCGGGTCGGCGTAGACAATGTCACGCTTCTGGTTCTGCATAATCCCCTTCGCGTTGCCTGCCTTGAAGGACTTGCCGCCCTTTCCCATATTCTTCGGCATCTTGACGGAATTTCTGACGGGCGGAGGTGACAAATAAATAAATAATTAAATAGTTTTCCTTCCGCTCTCGCTTCTACTCTCCCCTCCCCGCACAAGTTTAATGGCAACCAAACCTCCCCCAAAAGAAAAAAGAAAAAAAAAAAGATAAATTTTATTCGCGGCCAAGCAGACAAGGGAAAGAAATAATACGGGACGTGCTGCACCGCCCCCCTGCTTGAACTAGCGACTGGGAAAGAAGATACCCCACTGGAGATGACAGGGGAAAGGAATCAGGCAGAGCCATCAGCGTTCGATTCCATTGCATTGCCGGGCAGAGAAGAGCATGCATTCAGTAGAACGCCACGCAGGCGTTCAATAGAGGCGGCCAGGACGGTTGCCGCGTTGTCTGCATGATCGTCCACCGCCGTCCCCGGGGCGGGCTCCTGCAACCCGCTCCACTCAGAGTGCAGTCGTTGAGTTTGCAGAGAAAGCCCCGCCTGCATGGTACTAAAACGACTCTCCATGTTTTGGTACAACTTCATCCAATCCTCCATCGGCAGCGGCGGGTGATTGACCTCCAGGCGGGCGCTCTGCAGGAGTTTCTGCAGAGGAGCAGGCCGCACCTGCAGAGCCGAGCTGCTCACAAACCCCTGAAGTGTTCGGCGCCACTTCTCCACGTCCATCCGCTCCCCACCCCAACCGCTTAAAACGCTGCGTGCAAAATCAATCGCGGAGCAGGCACGCCGGCCAGTGATGACAGCAAGTGCAAAAGTACACGCACAGTGACACCCAGCAACAGGCACAGTACAAGCCTCACGCACACACCGTCCGCAGCAGCAGAAAAAAAGAAAAAAAAAACGACACGAGTGTACTGATAAAAAAAACAAAAGGGAAGAAAAAATAATAAAGAAAAAAAGAAAAGAAAAGAAAAGGGTATGCATTGTGCCACATGTGTACAAAACGTGGAAAGTGAAATAATAATAATAATAATAAATGAATGGTGGGCACCTCCCTTTTGAAGCAAATTCACACACACACATCTCCTCGTCATTTCTTCGCTTGTTTGAAACTTCACATTCCACCCCCCACCCCCACTACCCCTCCTTTTCCTCCCTCGTCTCGTATCTTGTGCTCTTGGAATGCGCCCGTCAAGCCAAGGCGTACTCCACTTCCACGTGCCGTTTTAAACATCAGTTCAGCAAGTACGACCGCTGCGCTTCCGACTGGTTTGCATAGACAAGCCGACGTAGTTCGTCATGCGACCATGGAAGAGGGGGCGCCTGCGGCTCCACCTTCATGCCATGTGGCGTCCCCATCAATGGGGCCGGCGAAAGGGGTATGACAGCCGGGAGCTCAAGTTTTTGAGGGGATCTCGGGATCACTGGGCTCCAAGATGTGCCCAAGCTCCTTTCCAACGGAACGTTTGACTGCACGGAAGGCTGTCTCCTTCGTGGTGACTTTGCTTCAATGTTGAAGTGTGTGTCAGGGAGATACTTCCAGTCGTACTCACATGTCTGGAGGTTGTACTGAGTGGGCTTGCCACACACCTCCTGCTTCTTCCGTATTGGCATCGCACTACTTGTTAAATAATGATGGTCCTCCTACCCAGCAGTTACTCACGCACTAGAATACTGCTATGTACACTGATGGAAAGAATAGAAACTCGGCAACTACGATACAACAGCCTGATAATTTTGTTCCATGTACGCAATTGGGAAAGGGGAGCGGTGGTTGTCTGTTGTTGTTGTTGTTTTTTGTTTTTGTTTTTGTTGTTTTCTCTTCCAGTGTCTTAACACAGCTACGTATACAGATATGCAAAGAGCAAAAGAATTAAAAAAAAAAAAATGCAACAAAAAAAAAATCCAGCAAAAGATGCAGGAAGGTCAGTGAAGATGAGGAAGAAACACCATCACAGAAAAAGCGACCATTATGTATATAGAAATATATATTTATAACAAAAATGGCTGTCTGAATGGTTCCATCATAATAATAATAACCATCATTATCATCATCATCATCATTATGCCCATTGCCGCGGTTCAGGAGCAGCCCCATCATCAGCCGACGGCTCCCCACCCTCACCGGTTGCACTAAAGTTATCATCTTCAAGATCCAAATCCTCAAAGTCGCCCGTGTTGGCAAGCATCTCATTGTGCCACTCTTCCTCCTCCTTCTCCGTCCACAACGGGTCCACGTCACTTGGATGCGGAACATTGCGCACGCCCCAGAAGCGCATTTTCGCATGGCGAAGACGCCACCAATGATGAAACTCCTCTGTTTTAAATTTACTCGCCCATCGGTCAAACGCCATCTGCATGTGCGGCGGCCGTTGGATGCCCTTCTCCGTCTCAACGATACGAGGGGGGAGAAAAAAGCGCTCAGGTCCCGTCGTGTAGTCCTCGCCCTTGTGGTTGTCACTCATGTCACGGTTTTTGTACTCCACAAAGTACATCGCTACGCCATCCGTGCGACGACGACTTTTCAGCCGAGTCATCATGGCATACTTCCCGTACATGTCTTTGAACCGTCGCGGGTACTCGTCGAACGCCTTGTCGACCATCAGCGGATCGTGCAGGAAATACGCGAGATGCTGCCGGGAGTCGGTGTCCCCGGCCTTGGCGAGGTCAACCACGTGGTCCGCCAAAATACGCAGCACGGGAGCGCGTGCCCCGCCCACAATGCAGTAATCCTTCCGTATCATCTCCGTCACCATGCGGCGGGCAATTTGCTGCCGATGAAACGGGCTGCGCGCGCGGAACTTCGGCAGTTGCCCCCGCTGCCACCCGTAGTCGGCCATCAGCGGCTCGCTCGTTTCCCACGGCTTGAACGTAATCGTCGGGTTGTCGTCGACACCGGCAAAACGGGCTTTGCGTGTCTGCCCAATCACCGGCGGTGGCCGGCCGGCAAAAAAACGCGTCTGCCTCATCACGGACTAAAAAAAAGAAAAAACAACAAAAAAAAAAAAATTCTCCTCCGGCAGCGAGCGCCCCTCAAAAAAAGAAACAACACGCATGCACAACGTACACCCGCCAACGGACCCACAACAAACAAGCAAACACCCATAAGAAGAGGAAAAAAGAAGAAAGAAAAAAAAGACTTCAGGAGGAAAATAAAACGTCGCCATGCCTCCTGCCAATCCCTCCTCCATTCCTCCCATAACCCAATTTCATCGCCGTCCATTCCTGCAAAAACAACAATAAACATCATTGCGGCTACTAGCAAAGCAAAAAAAACCAGCAAAAAAAAAAAAAAAAATTTTCCTTTTTTCCAAATCCCTTTTTAAGGGGTTAAAATGAACCGTCCAAAGAAGAAGCAGAAAAAAAAAAAAAAAAAAAGAAAAAGAAAAAAAAAAAAAGCGGGGGTATAATCGCCCAGTAAATGAATCCCCACCCTTTTTTTCTGTGTATATCTTGTTTGTCTTTTATTTATTTATTTATTTATAATTTTCGTTCTTTTTGAAAGACGATTTAAAAGACCCTCCAGTCGATCGCATGCCTGCATGTGTAAAATTTGTGGCAACATCTTCTCCGATACGCCAAGCCAATTAAGAATCACATCCACATTCACAGCCACATCACCACCAAAGCGTAGTTGTGGAGAAAAGTTTACATGTCGAAGAGCCTTCAGGTATCGATCGTCCGTGGACCTTTTCTCGGCGTTCTGCTGAACCGTCTCCTCCGCGGTGGGAGCAGAAACGGCACCGGCCGCTGCAGAAGTGGCATCTCCACTGGATTTGGCATTACAGGATGACTTTGTGTCCGATGACTCCCCAGGGCACTCCTGGTCAATCCTGCCAAACCGATGGAACACCTCCGCGTTATCCTTCGCGGTGAAGGAGCACACGAGTTGAATCAACTCCTGAAAGTCCTGAAAGCGCGGGTTTCCCGTCCACGGGTTGGACTGGAGCAGCGTTAACATGAAGCCAACTTCAGCATCCCCAATCCCCTGCCGGGAGTAGAACTCAAAATTGTTGGTGCCACGAAACCCGAGAATGACTACTTTGACGGCACCAGGACGAAAGAGCTCCACGTTCTCCGTATTGATCTCAAGCACCTTCTTTACCGTCGTGTTTCCGTCACCGGGGCACTCCGCAAAAGACAGCCTCGCCTTAGGGAAGCTCGCAATGAGGCTCCCAGAATTGGTTGCCCCAGTCGAGGCGGTACCAAGCAGCAAAGTTGTCTGCTCCAGCTTCATGGTGAGTTTGCCACACGGAATGCGTGTGAGCGGGTTTCCCATAAAGGGGATAATAAGACTTTTCTCTGCCTCGTCACTGGCAACGCTTGGTTTGTCAGTGCTGCCATTCTCCTTGCTGCTGATGCTAAGGCTGAAGCTGAGGCTGCTGTTGCTGGTGTTACTGTTCTCCACGCCGCATGGGATGTCCAAGCCTAACAGGGGCAGGGGTCGTTCATCGCTAACCAAACATTTCCTTCGCTCTAATAACCGCTCAATGTCAAATAAAACTTCCTTCACCTTCTTTTTGAACGAGGTGTGAGACGTTTTTATGCCACCATCCCGCAATCGCAATACTGACACCTCCCTTTGCGTCGACACAACCTCACCCACGTTGCTAATGGTGCTGAGAACCGCCGGCACTGTACTTGGTGTCACAAAAACACTGCTTCTATACAGCGATAACTCCGCCTCCACTGTCCTGCGTTCCTCCTCACCCACTCCGTCCATGCAACCAAGGGAAATCTCTGTTGCCTGGCACTCAAACACATCCTTCAACTGCCGCTCCTTAAACATCGCGTGTAGTTTCTGCACGCACAACAACTCTCGGAAAGTGCGTCCTGTCGGTGAACACATCAAATTTTTCGTGTTATCTGCATTTTCAATAAAGAATGCTTTAATAAGCACGCTCTCAAGGTTGGCCACACCGGAAAGAACACCCTCAGAACGCAGTATAAAAGACCGTACCGCCAAATCAAAGCACGTCTTGTAACACACACGCGCGGGAGATCGAGTCCTCAGAAGAATGAGACTAACGCCACCCAAGGTTGCCTGTTGCGCGTTACCAGAGCTGAGATCAAGTCGCAACTTAATGTGCGATGCCGTGACGACAACGACCAGTACCTCCTCCACCTGGCCCTTACGCATCGCTTCTAGACCACGGCGAATAACGACACTCTTCTGCACATTTTCTTTTATGATGCTTGCACTGCGAGTAAACATCTGACGAATGCTCTGCAGCGACTCAAGCAGCGCCTTGTGCCAAAGCTCCTGTACAATGAAAAGCTGCGACAAATGCGGCGCTCGCACCCTAACCTCCAAATCAACACCTCCCGAGACATCAGGCGGTGTATGAATGTACACGTTTGTAAGTTCCCACACGTGCTTGCGGCGTCGCAACGCGACACACGTCACTGCCTCTGGCAAAAACATCTCAAATGACTTCACTTCCAGCTTCGCTTGGCATTCCAGCTGCATCTTTCGAGCGCAAATTGTGAATAAAAGCGGCGGCGGTGTAAATATATCCATTTCTTGAAAAGGCCCCAGTGGCTGTCCCAAAAACCGCTGCACAAAGAAGTCCAGACTGCCACCCCGCTCGTCCAGAAAAAGTGAAAGGGTTACTGTCGAGGCGGGCTCCGTCATCAGCACAAAGCGTAGTCCCGTGATGCGGATGTGAATGCTCGTAAAGGTATTCTTTCCTCTGCTATCATGACCTGAGAATCCCGCGCCAGATGAGTGCTGAAATCCAAGTTGCAAAGAATTCGGGTTGTCACCGCGATTCTGTTTCTGTCGCCGCAGTGCGATTACCCCGCTTGACGTTGCTCTGGACTGCGCCACCGCCTCGGCGAAGGCACTGGGCACCGGCAACGCCACATCGGCTATAGAAGAGTGTAGAGCAAGGTCGTTGCTGGTAATATCCCTCTCCCATCCCTTTACGAGGCCGAGTAATTTCGTCACGCGCTCACTGTTGCCGCGGTCATGCACCGTCGCCCACTCTTCAATTTCCTCTGCAAGCGACATGATAGAGGGCAAAATTTCAACCGCACTTGCCCGCAGCTCGATGCGGACAATTAATTCATGATCACCACTCGTGGAGTCACAAACATTTGCCAGCACCATCGTGGTGATATCAGGTGTTGGAAATGCAAGCAGCTCCGCCATGGGGTACACCACAGTGGCAGCATCGGCAGCGCCGGAACTCGCGGTGTTCTTCTCCAACGCCTCGGGGTTGAGCCTCACTCGCCGTCGGTGCGAACGGCCCATCTTACTTGTTGCGGCGTCAGAGGCCTGCGGGACACTGGGGGAGCCAACAGCGGCATCTCTCTGAATGGAGTAAACCTTCACCTCACCACGCTCAACCCGCATCGTCACGTCAAAGTGGTACGAATTGGGGCTTTTATTGGCCGCGTTTGGCACATTGTGAGGGGTAAATGGATCTGCATGCCGTTCCTTTCGAGAAGTTCCCCCTTCTGCCGTTACATCCTCAGAAAGCCGTCGTGGTGCGGAATATGGCAATGTGGCGGCCCCATCATGTCTTGCTTTCGACACTTGACGAGGTTTAAAAATGTCAGAGAGCGATGCGGACGGCATTTCTTTTGTGAACTGGCTAAGGATGCTCACAAAGCGTGTTGAGATCGAAATCTGGGGTGCGCTCATATCCATAACAGCACCAACTTTTACTGTGCTTCCACTCTTATTTACATGGAGCGGAACGTCAATAGAATTAATAAATACCTTTGAAAAGGAGTTGCGGCATTCCTCACGGCTCAGGCTGGTGAGAGTTCCAAGTCCACCAAGAACGTGTGTGCAGCTAAGCAGATCTTTTGCCGAAATGTCACTTTCCAGAGGTGAACCATCACTGAAATAAATTTGCGCATCGTCCATCACGTAGCGCGCCGTAAACGTCAATTTGGATGTGGCGTCCAGCTCTGCCGCATCAATGAAGCCACCAAAACCCTCATTTGACCCTCTCGGCTGAATCGCAGGAGCCCACCTCTGTGACTTGAGTAGACGGCACGCGAAGGTCGACTTTTCAACCTTCAGCTTCAGCGCCATGGTGGGAATAAAGCGCCTGCGATTCAGTGCCAATGCGCCACGCCCAGAAATAAACACATCATGATCTCCTTCAATGATGTTGCGGTATGCCGCATCACCAAATGGCACAACTACAAGGAAGTTCGACACTGTGGCAAAGAACTTGTTATCGGACCTTGCGTTAAAGAAATCTTCCTTTTCATCTGCTTCAGTTGCTATCCTTGACGGTGATGCGTAGGAGGGACGTTTATGAAATGCGGAGGTGCCCTGCGGCAACACCTGCGCCGTCAGTTCCTGTAGACGCTTTATATTTTCCCGTTGTGTTAGTTCCACCTGCGCGTCCACCTGCTTCCGTACGCGTGTCAACCGGCGGTACGCCGCATGTTTGAAAAGCTGACGACGTAATAAACGACCCTCTCGCTGCGACTCAAACCGCAACTTCTCTGCAAGGTCTCTTGTCTCCTCAAAGGACCGCCGCAGAAGCGGAGCCAGCCCGACACGGGCAATAATAAGCGGCGATCTGATCGACAGATTCCATCGTGTGGCAGTGATGCCAAGCTTTCCAAGTTCATGCAAACCAACAGGAATCCCCCGCGATGCCGCGAAGATGTTCTCAATAGCTGCCCGTACGTCATTTTTGTCGCTTCGCCCGCTGGAGAGTGTAAAGGACGTTTCAAAAAGGCCCCAAATGAAACCGCCAAGTGGGCGCACCAGCCGCGCCGATTCCTCCGAGGTCAACGAAGCAGCGCGATTAGGCGTCGCCGCCGCCATTGTGCTGGGTGCGGATACCTCGCTCTGAGTCGCAAACGTTGCTTGTCGTAGCGTGGACTGCAGTTGATCGTAATCGTCACGATCCACAAGAGCAATCTGCGCATTGACGACGTTCACCATCAATTTTGACATTCGGTACCTTCCCAAAAATGACATTTTCATCAGAGCATTGAGCTTCCGCACAGAGAAGCGCAGGTTCGTCATGGAGGTGAGGTACGACACACGGAGACCGCCCAGAAGAAACACAAAGCGACCTTCCCATCCTGACGATGGTGCGAATGAAGCGTTCGTCACTGGCTGCTGAACACGTTCCTTCTCGCCTTCCTCCTCCCTACCAACATAAAACGGCTTCGAGACGGCCGTGTATACGTCTGCAATCCTGTCCAAAATCAAAATCAAATGACTAATAATGGTCGAAGACACAGTTATCTCAACCGACTCCAATAAGCACATGCCGGTCCGCACCAGCTCGTCCTTGGCATAAATGGCATACACGCTTGGAAACTCCACCGCATGCCTCCCCGCCGAAGGACTTTCAGATGTCAATGTAAATGGATGTAGGTGGGCCTTAAAATTCAACCTCTTATCAGAGGAGAAGTTAAAAAATGCAGATGCGAGCGGAATCCTCAGCGCCGCGTGTATGCCATGCGGCAAATCCACCTTGACCCACACTTCATGCAACTGGACTGCACAACACGACGCATGGATCTTCTTCTGGTTGGGCAACGTCAAAGAAAGACAGCTATCACTAGCTTTCTCGCGGTTGAAGTGGCGCATGGGCTTGAGAAGCTTCTTTGCCTCTATCCACCCTTGTAACCATTCATGCACTTGGGCCTGCACGGTCTCAGTGGCTAGAGGACGATATGGCAAAAGGAAATAGACCTTTCCAACGTCAATCTGCAAGTTCATCTGCACTCCCTCAGGCGTAGCCCCGGGCTTCTTGTCAGAAGCTTCCTTTGAGTCACCATCGTTGGTGGGAATATGATTTTGGTCCGCATTATGCATGCCCACTGCCAGTTCCTTTGCGGTCGCAACAAAGACGCGTGACTCCTTATGCTCCTGCATCGACTCCACGGGAGCTCGCATAGCGGCCCTCGAGGTGCCCGGCGGCACTATTGCATCGGCAACATACTGCAACAATATAGATTCGGCAAAGAAGGAAGCCGTTTTCCTCAGATGTAACTCTGGCGTCACGGATGGTGGGGCCGCGCAGCGGCTCTTAGGAGCACGTGAACGCGCCCTCTGCGCCAAAACGTGCAGCCGCTTTCGTATCCACTCAGAAATCGCCTCCGTAAAAACGTGAGTCTGAACACACTCTCGCGAGCTGATACGCTCCGCTCGGGACTCGCCACACCCAGTGAGGTTGACCACCTTGAACTGCATATAGTTTAACTCCGAATGTAAGAAATAAGCGTCAAGCTGGCGCAAAGTGAAACTACCTTTAACCACAACACCCAAACTGCCACCAGGCGCTTTCATATCAAGAGAGGGTAACCGTCCCCTCAACCGTGTGAAATGTCTATTAGGCGACTCTATGTCGCTCTCCGCCACAATCGACACCACTGTCGTCCTCTTCTTTGCCGCAGCGAAAATGCGCAGCGCTGACGGATAACACTTGACCAACAATTCTTCAATTTCCCCGAGGAGCTGCACCTCCACATCGCGTCGTCCCCGCTCTAAGGTAGGTTCAGACCGCAATTCAGAACTTGGCAAAGATGCACCCATCATTCTTGATGCAGTCGGAAGTATGGAGCTTATCATGCCCATGTTCGACAAGGCACCATCACCTTTCCACTTCAACGGAACCCTCGCAATGAATTTCGCCGAGGGACGCTTCACCTCAATGACGTTAGACAACTCCGTGTTAACGTGTATGTAACGTCCTTCGCGGTACACGTCAATAAGTTCAACGCGGAATAAGTTTATATTTCCAACGCCCTGAACGGTGATACTCGCCTCAATGCCAAAGTGCTCCAGTGAGGCAAATGGAACATCCATGGACGAAGATTGTTTGGGAAATACAATGTCACGGAAGCTTTCTGTACGTTTGTGGGGAAGCAGGATGGGAACAGGTACGGGGGTAAGGGGGACATTTTCTCTTTGCTGGGCCTGTCGCATGTTCTGAAGCTGCTGCAGCATCGAATGGACTGAATGAGCAAAAAAGAAGAAATCGCGTGTGAGATGCAGGGCAACCGTATCCACAGAGAGACGGCATGTCCCACTCCCTATACCTTGATGGTTGTCACGCTTTCCACGCCCGCACAGAGACGTGAGGTATGCCACAGCCAGTGTGTCCTTCTCTTCATCGTATGCAATGCCGGGAACTTTGATTTGCAAATTTCCATTACGCGCCGCGGGCTCATACTCAATCTGTGTGATGACAGCAAGTGAGGAAAGCGTGACGGAAGCAGAAAAAGCGCGCTTCTCGACCGGCATTGCAGCATGCGCTGGTGGCAGAGTTTGCTGCATGACAAACTGAAAAGACCGCACACCCAGCGTCGTTGCATACACTCCATTGGCCTTGTCGCCAGGTGCTGCGTATTCTCGAGGAACCGGAAGATCCGTTAATGCCTTCACCTCAATGCAAGGAAGAATGACGCTTGTAATCTTTACTTCTGACAGCCATCGCTTTTGGTGCACGCGATTCCTGCTAAGCTCCTTTCGAGGAATCACACGCTGCTGTTGTATTTGTGCCCCTGTTTGACTCCCGTCATCGTCCAAGTCGTTGTTCCCCCACGCCCTTAAGTTTCCCTGCGAGAACGAAGGCCTCGAAATTGGTGCGGCCATGAGGGATTGGTAGTAGTGCACCTGCGTGAAGAACCGCGCCTCGGCCTCAAAAGACAGTTTCTCCAAGAACGGCCTCGTCACAAGCACTGTGATCGGTGCCACCGCCTCAACGTGCAGATGCTTTGACGTGGCCCCCTCCCGTGAGCGCTTGCGGTTGTCGGTTTGTCGTAGCGCCCACACGTCGGACTCCTCGTCGTTGTCATCGCCGAGGGCAAGGCTCAACATCGCCTGCGCCATGCAGAATTTTGGTGCTCGATGGGGACTCATGGACGCAAAAAACGTCGTCGATGGAAGAGGCGCGTGAAAGCACGTAAAATCGCGGATGCCGCCCTTTGCTTGTCGTGCCGCCGCATTGTAGTTCAGCGACGTCACCTCGTCGTCGGCCCGCGAGTGCAGAAAAAACGGCCGCAGAAACGATGTGAAAGATTCCAAGGGACGCAACATAAAATCATTTGCCAATTCGACATCCCTCATCAAAGAAGACGTCGGAGCCGCATCACCACTGGCATTCGCAGCGGCAAAGGCGTCGTTTGCGAGAATCGAGGTGCGATCACTCCCCGTGCACTCCATCTCTTCAACCTCGTCGCCTTCCAAGTCCTTCTCGCTTGTTGCAGAGAGACACGTCGCATACCTTTGAGAAGTGTTGTTATTGTTGTCATTTGGAGAATCCCTTTGCAAATTCACCTCCGCAGAACGCGTAGAGCACGCAGACAGAGTATTTGCCGCCGACGGGCTTTTAAATTTCTCTCGAAAGGATACAAGACCATCCAAAAAGGAAATCGTCGCTCGACGTGCGCTCCCTCGCAAGCGCTCCTCTTCCTCCTCATCTGCATCTTCCTCCCCGGCGCCGTTTGCATGCACCGGTTGTGTGCCACTTACACCCGTTTCCGGCTTCTTGGTAGTACTCGTCTCCAGTTGGGTGTCTTTTGAAAAAGAAAACCAAAAGTTAAAAAGACGATCCATGTCGTTCTCGTCCAAAAACCGCCGCTGCTTCTCCAAATGGTGCTCAAGTCCTTGGTCGAAGGGATACGCCGTGCAGTTACGCATGCGCAGCGACGTCTCCACGTGAAACACCTCCACAAAGTCCTCACTGAGTTTCGATTCCTCATGCACGCTGAGTCGACAGAACCCACGCAATGCGATGTCCCGCACAGCAGCACTCACACGACTGTTAGAGTTCAGGTCGTTGAGGGTCGAGGAGGCAAGTTGCACCCCGCGCGGAAGCTGCAGTTCCAAGTAGCCATCGGGGCCAACACGCACACACCCCGCGACACACTCAAGCGACGCAAGGATCGTGACAACAGCGTGGTCCTTCGCCTCGTCCGCTGCCGCTTCAAAAGCCTCAAGGTATTTGTTGAAATCCACGGCCATCAATTCAGGAATCGACTCTGAGAAGGGCACCTTTAAAATGGGACCGTCGCGGGCAAGAAATCGTTCCAGTGCCAACCGCGCATCCGTGATCTTATTGAGCGTAGCAGATCCCTTCCTTCTCGTGCACCTATCACCCCGGACACAAGAAAACGGCAAAATGTCATCGTCCGTGGGAAGTATTCTGATGGTTTTACGCCGCGGGTGCGCCGACTGCGGCATGATGTGGTCTGTGGAGTACGCCGCCCGTGTCTTCGCAGTTTCAATCTCCCGCAGAAGTCTCGCATCACGCAGAGGGAACTGTCGCATTAGCGTGTTCAGTAGCTGCGTCAGCATTGCCATCTGCTCCACAGTCACCTCAAATGTGATGCCGTCAATTATTATATTCATCGCCCTGTGAAAAGGTGTCCGCATGGGCATTGGTCCAAAGTGCTGGATCGAGCTAATCTTAATTTCTCCCAGGCAAAGGAATGTCCCTTCCACAAGACTGTCCCCATCCTGTTCAAAAAAACGTCCAGTGATCGGAGTAGCTGTGATGGTCATGTCAGTTGAGGCGCACTGTTTGATGAGGGAAAAGTTGAATTTGGCACCGCAAAGATTCAACTTGGGTGAGTTCTCCCCGCCACTTCTTAGCGTGACGTCCATGTCTAAGATATTGAGAGTCATGCTGAGTTCCTGAATGGCACAACGTGGTTCGTCCTTCTGCAAGTAGTCATTGAAACTCTGTCGCACGTTTTTCGGTAAATCCAGTTTGGGATGTATCCTGGACGGTGGCCAAAAAAGCTCTTCGGGTCGAATTACACACTGCGAATCACCAAGGAGGTTATCGATCAGCTCAAGAAAAGAGGAAATATGCGGAGACATCAGAAACCCACGCAGGCCGGTTAGTTGAATGTCCATGTGAAGATGATTGAGAAGCTTCGTTCGGCCTGTTGCAGGATCCACTGGTGTCTTATCCTGTGGCACCGTCTGGTTCGGTATGTACACATTCTGCAACCCCCTCAGAGAGACCTCATCGGCCCGTGCAAACGGCTCTGCGGTACCCACGAGTCTGTACAGCGGATGTGTCGGCGGGAGGCTCAAGCTCGCATCAAAATCCCGCAAGATCATCTCAAAGGGACGCTGCACCTCCGTTGACGCACTCAAAAAGTACGTGTCATTTGGCAGCGTAATAAAGAAATGGCCCGTGCCGTTGATGTGAAAGTTCATAAAACTGTTGAGGGACTCGTCATTCAGGTCCTCGCTGAAGATGACGTTCCGTGGATTGCAGTTCAAATGCAAGATAGCGGGAGCTGTAAAAAATAACTCAAACCGCTTCACATTTGGGCTGAACTCCGTCACGAACCGGCTGTACGTGTTGTAAATCTCCGTCGTCAGCGGCACGCCGTGGTACATCTCAGCCACAAACTGCCAATCCGTAATGAGGTCCATGAAGAATTCGACGTGGTCCATGTACCACCACACCTCCAGCTCGCCAAAGGAAGGCAGCACGTTCCATAGTTTCCGCCCCGTGTACACGCGATCGTCTTCCCTGTCAATGAAGAGTTCAATCGTACTCATCCGCGCAAGCAACGTGCTCTCTTCTTGAATGCCGTTTGTAGCCATTGACACATTTTTCCCTGAAAAAAAGCTCTCAGACCGCTGCTTCTTCTCCCTACTTAAAAGAAACTGCGGCTTTTGTATGTAGTGCGACTCGCGGCCCAATGTCATTAGTATAACCCCCTTGCGTCCCGAGTCACGAATGCCAAAGGGCGGCGAAGGGCAAGGTGCTTTTCGCTTAAACGGCAACGTCACACACGTGTCACGAAGAAATTCCACAAGCAGCTCCAAACCAGCGAGAGGACGTGATTTGCCGAGCTCAAAGTTCAATGACTCAAGCGGCTTATATGTGAACGGCAAAAAGAAGTTCTTTAACTCCATAAGCGAGTAGTGGGACCACGGGCCGTAGCAAATCTCAGGGACGTCAAGGAGCACCTCCAACCCCATGTGCGGTAGTTCCACCTCGCGGCTCACCTCTTCGCCCGCGTAAACATTTGTCACATCGCGATAGAAAACGATGTGTATGGTAGAGTTCTCCCTGCCGTTAAGGAGCATGCCGTAGTTACGAATAATGGATGACGCCTCATCAATAACAGGGCCTTGCGTTTCATTTAAGGATGTGCCTTTACCCATCATGGTAAGCGATTTACCTAAGTTGTTTGCCTTTCCGTGTTGGAAAAGAGCATTCCTGTCTTCCTTCTCCTTTTTCATATGGCACCAGCGCGCATGCACCTCTTCCAGCGTCATTTCTGTAACAAAGCGGTAGAGGTCAATGCTGGGCATGCCATCCATCGTCAAGTAACTGTGGCACTCCCCACGCTTAAAGCCAAAGTGCAAAAAGTACGGGTGTGCAGCACCGGCCCCGCCAATATCGACGTAACTTGCGTACATCTCAACCTCCACGGCACCAATAAAGTCAAACAAACGCTGTACAATGCTCTTTTTGTTCTTCAAACGCTGCTGTTCCTCCAATGCGCTCTTCAACGACTCATCACTGTATGTTTGACTCCCATCCGAGTCACCACGTGTCCATATCCTCATACCTTCGTCCTCGTTTGATTGATTCCTATCCCCTTCTTGCATCAGGCGACCAAGGATACTCCTCAGGGTCCAACCTTGCGCGGAAGTTGCACGCAGTTCCTCGCTAGCATGCGCAGAAGGGGCCTGCGTTGATGTCAACTCCTTATAGCTCCATGTGGCATTATACAAGCAGAGGCCCAAGCCGTTCAAGTGCACACGGACTTTGCCACGGCTCTGTGGTATCTGCACAATGTCTATATTGAATAAACTTGTGGAAACGCCATCATTATCATGAACTTCGCCAGTATCTTGGTTTGATTCCCCTCGTTCGCATTGAACATCACGATCCCCTAGAGATGAAAAGATGGAATCTACATTTTGATGGACGGCGAATTGTGGGTCTTCCTGCCCCATTTGCGTCCACGGAGAAAAATCCCTGTCGTTGCTCTCGTCATGATTGCCGTGGGGAGCAACGTAGTCTGTGGAGAGAAGCGTGTCTCCATTCACACCATCAACCTCCATAAACGGTGCCACAGCAGCGCGATTGCCAACATCCAATTCAACGAACGGTGCATCCTCTGCCATCTCACTGCCATTTCCCTCGAGTCGCACCCGCACCGCCCGTTCCTCCCGCAGTACATCCACAATCACGCCCTGCACCCACTCCTTCTTCACCTTCACTCTGCAGCGCGCGCCCTTCAAATCATCGAACATGAATTCCTTCACGACCGTCCATGACGGGTCCTCCAACCACGAGTCCCAGAAGCAAAAAGAGACGTACCCGTCCATGAGGCGAAGCGACAGGTTCTCATCCTGGTAGAAGAAGTCCTGGACAAATATGCGGCAACTCAGTGGGGCGATAACTATGCTTCCGAGACGTACACGCGCTGTTGACGACAAAATGCAGTACCGCAGAAACAACTGGACGGCAAACCCCAATATTTTGTGCGTGTACAGCATCGTAAAGAGACAACACAAAAACAGAAAAACGACGGAGAAGAGTAACTTAATAAAATCCTTCGTATCGGACCCCATTTGCGGCTTGTGTTCTTTGCTTCCACCTTACGTCACCTCTCCACCCTTCTCTCTTTGTCTTTTCTTTTCCCAGCTCGTGTGCGCTGATGACCGAGACGTAACAGCCAGTAACGTAAACACGCACTCTCTCTCTCTCTCTCTCTCTCCTTCTTTCTCAAAGGAAACCAAAAAAAAAATGAAAACAAAAAAAGCCCAAACGGATAAATGTACGCCACCACCACGTCCAACGTGCCTTGTTGGACGTGTATGTATGTGAAAAAGAAAGGAGCGGAAGAGTACCCCTTGTTTGTATAGACCTGTGCGTGTATACCTCTCTCTCTCTCTCTCTCTCTCTCTCTTTCTCTTTTTATTTATTTATTTTTGTTTTTTGTTTCCCCTTTCTAAAAAGGGGGAAAACAAAATGCAAAAAAAAAAAAAAAGCTATTGAAATTACTATGGGATTCGACCTGGTCGGGATAAAACACACATAAAATGAAAAGAAAAAAGTCGTGGAGGGGCCCGCTGTGGCTCTTCGCGCCTATTTCTCCTCCTCCTCCTCCTTCTCCTTCTTCTGCTTCTTAATTATGCCCGTGGGAGAAGATAAAAATAAAAATAAAAAAATACACACGTGTCGGGCACGCCCAAAACGGTGCCAAAGAAAAACTTCCCCCCCTTCACCTCCGTAAATATAAACCCCCTTGTTCCTTTCAAATGCCTGGTGTGGGTATATATGTATATATGTATGTATGTATGTGCGTATTCACTTCGGGGCAACGAGAGAAAGAGGGAGAGAAATAATAAAATCATAGCATTGCATAAAATAAACAACACCCACACATTGCACATGAAAGCAATTTCCATGAACTTCTCAGAGGTTTTAAGCAAAATAAAGTTCCTAAAACTCGTCACTCTCGCTCTCTTCCACAGCAAAGCGATTCGCATTTGTATTTTTCACCACAAGCGCCTTCGCCTGGCGCACATCCTCCTGCACCTTTTCCGATTGCATGTCGGCAAAACGCCCCTGCAGTGTCTGGGGCTTCCCTGTCTTTTCCTCCATCGCGATCCGGGCTCGTTTGCGGTACGCAATCGAGTTGGGAAGGACACCCGTTCGTGCCAGCTGCGCCTTCGTCTCATACTCCGACTTCGTGAAGACACCCCCACGGCGCTGCACGCTGGAGTAAAACAGCGTCTGCTGCTGCGACGGGCCCGAGACGGATGTCCTGACAACCGTGGCGGAGTGCTGCCCGGCCTGCGGCTGAGATGCCTGAAAGGGCGAAATGAAAGCGGCGGGAATCGTGCCATCATCCACGATGATTGGAGCCTTTGAGCGAGCGCCAGCGTGTCCCCTCGTCTTTGCGTGGGGCTGCCCGTGACGTGGCGGGCGGTCGTTGTGGGCGGTGCGATGACGGCTGTTGGTTCGGTGGTGTGGCCTGTTGCCTAAGACATTGTGCTTCACCATCGACAGAACTAATCTCACTGTATAGAAAAAGAAAAAGAAAAAGAAAAAAGAAAAAAAGACAACTGAGGCAACGTCGGCCCTCCCCGCAATTATTCACACGGCAGCAACAACGCAGTCCGAATGCACAAACCACACGTTCCCCACCACTGCCACTGCCGTCCTCGTTACGTGTTTCTGGTTGTTCTCTACATCACACCCAAAGGGAAGAAAAACTCACGGGCCACACACGCCCCCCACGATCCGCAGCTGCCGCCCCAACTCACTCCGTCGCCTGCTGCGCTGCCGGGGAGAGTCGAAAGCGGAGCAGTCTTGAGCCCCCCGAAGCCTCGTCCGCTTCCACCGCGTAGATCGTCTCCTCTTGTGAGTCCAGGGCGATGGCGCAAAGAGATGGGCACGTTGTGCGCACAATGCCGCTCACCTCGCCATCCCTCCCAATGACCGTAATGATGCCGCCAGCGCCTTCATTGGGTGAGGATGACGATGAAGATCCCTTCATGTCGTACTGGGTCACAAAAATGGAGCCGTCACTTTTTCTAACGGCGATGGCGCTGGGGCCCATTCCCCCTTGCAGCTGCGCAAAGACACTTCCAATGTAGTACGTCCCTCGAAGCACAAACCGAAGCACGCGGTTAGTGCCCTGCTCGCAGACATACACGCTTTTGTCGCTTGTCACGGCAATTCCCGTCGGGCGTATGAGACCACGACGACAGAGTGGAACAACTTGGCTGTGCCCCTGCAGAGTGCGGAAAACGGCGCCCACCGGGTCGGCAAACGACGAGTCGCCCTCTGCCCCGGCGTCGGTAAAAAACAACTCACCGTCCGGTGCGACGGCGAGAGCTGTCGGTCCCACAAACTGTCTATTTTCAAAGCTGTTCAGGTAGCGCACAACAGTGTAATCCACCTCACCACGATCATTGTCACACTTCTCGTCCTTCTCAACATGCCCCTTGGAATTTGGTACCGCCTCCAGCTTCAGGATGGCGTTCTCACTGCGGTCGGTGAGGTATACATCACCGTTGCGGGGATCGATGGCGAGAGCATGTGGCGAAGTCTCCGTCGCCATGATGGGAATCATCGTGCCGTTCGTCTTGTTGAGACGAAGCAGCTCTCCGCTGCACGCGCATACGGCAAATACGTCGTCGTTTGCATCTAACGCCAGGCCTGTCAAGAGACGGCCCGGAAGCTCGGCAACAAGTTCCATTATAAAATGATAATCTGAGGGGTTATGCTTACAGCCACGACCCTCCACCGTCCCTGATGCTGGCAATGACGATGACTCCTTCACAAGTACCCTTTTGTTGTTGTTGTTGTTGTTCTTCACATCAAAGGAGAAAAGAACACGCATACATACATCCACACAAACAAAAAAGAAAGAGAGAAAAGAAAAAGAGACGAATCTCAAAAAAATGAGAAAGGGGTCAATCACCCCTACAGTCAAAAAGTTTCTTCTTTCCATGCTCACTCCCCCGCACAACCAGCCTTGCACGCACAGGCAAATACAAAAAAATAAAAAACTAAACGCAGCAGTTTGTTCCTTAACAGCAATGTTAGAGTTTTCTTCTTCGCACACACACACACACACACACACACACACACACACACACACACTCACACACACACACACACTCACACACACTCACATCTGGATTCTCTCTCCATTATTCTCAGCACAATTGCCAGCCATCCTGCAGGAATTCAACACGGTCATTAGAGTAATCGGTGACATCTTCACCAACGTCGCTAAGATCCTCAAGTAGTTGCCGCATCTCCTCGACTGTGGTACTTGGAGCACTCTGTTGAACCCCATGTCCAGACGTCGCGTTGTCCTCCTCACCCTCTGTTTCTTCCTCCATGAGGTGCACATGACGCTCCTGCTCCACCCAGTAGTGGTGAAACAAAAACTGCAGCACAAGCCCACACACCCAGCGAAGCTCAGACAGAAGTGGCAGGGCACCGTGCGCCACACGTTGCCGCACCTCCACCGCCTCCTCGGGAAACCCAATCAGTCGAGCCCGCTTCCTGTAAGTGTCCGCCGACCCACGAGCAAAACTGCCTGTCATGAGATGCACCGCACGTGATATCGCCGCACCATAAAAAGAAACGGCACCCAAAGACGAAAGCTGATCTCCTTCGTCAAGTGAAAAAGCCTCCATCAGAAGTGCTGTGGCCTCCGCATACGCCGGAAGCTGCCGGTTTTTACGCTCACGTGCCTTCCACACAAGTTGGATGCGGTTCAATGCCTCGCGCCTAGCTTCTGTCAGGCCTGTCCCGTCCTGAGGATCAAATAGCATTCGTTTCACACGCTTCCACTCATCCCACCCGTGTCCAAACACACTCGGCGCTGAGCGGGAAAGGGAGAAAAAGGGTGCAGTAGAAAAGGCAAACTCCCCTTCCGCCGACGCAGCACCCACCGCCTTCGTGTTTGAAACGTCGGCACGGATCCTTCCAGAGGTGCCTGTAGGCGCAACAGCGTCCAAATCGCCCAGTTCTCCCAGTCCACTTTTGATGCAAGTTCCCCTTTTGCGCTTCTCATTGGGTGAATTCTGCCACGCCCGGCTGCGCTTCCTCACCATATTTGTGGGCATGTAGATATATATATATATATAGATATATCTGTGTGTGTGTGTCAGTGCCCACTCCGCTCCCTTTTATGGTGAGCTGCCAAGAAAAATAATAAAAATAAAAATGAATAAATAAATAAATAATAAATGCACGCATAAAACAACAGCGGCATCGTCCAAAAAAAAATAATAATAATAAAATAAAATTACATTTTTAAAACATTTTTTGTTCTCGCATAATTTTCAACGAAATGTGATGCCATTCACCTTTCTATTTCCGGTACTCCTTCGTGCGTCCCCCACATACCGGGCGCCACGTTATCTTCGAGTTTTCTTCGTGGGTGGGCCCAACAAACCGCGGCCGTCCCCCTCGTCATGATCGCCGTCGTCCGGCCACGCGTCGTCATCCTCCCACTCCGCGGAGTCCATGACACTGCTGCTCGGAGCTTCGTACGCCATCATCATGTCAACGTCCTTCTCCTTCCGAGCGCGAGGGGCGTCGACGGCTGCGGCAGGCCTCGTGCTGCACTCCTTCGCCATACTGCGGCCAAAAAGATCGTAACTTCTCGCCTGCGCCTCCGTAACAAACGCAAATGCGTCGTTGAAGCGACGACAACAATTTTGACTCTCCTCCACAGACGCGGCCGTTGTGGCGGGCAAAGGGAGGGAAAAGGACGTCAACTCCAGCAGCACCTCCCCTGTTCGCTGGTTTGTGATGGAGAAGAACGCGTGCGGTGCAGCCCCATTGCGGTGATGCGCCATTGCTGCGATTTACCTGCAATGGCAGGGAGAAGAAGAAAAAGAAGAAAAATAATAAATATATTTAGAAAGGAAAGAAAAGCGGGGCAGGGCAAAGCGCAATCAAAACAAAAAAACAACACCGAAGGGAAATCACACAAAAAAAAAAAAAAACGGTGCGTTTCGGCCCCTTTTCCACAACAACAACAAAAAAAAAAAAAAAAAAAAAAAACGGCACAAATTTATTTCATGTTTCAATCCAAAAATAAAAAATAAAAAATCATTTTTACCTTCGCTTTTTATTTTTCTTTTTTTTCATTTCAAATTCGCCGCTAAAAATATCTTCCATTCCATTTTTCTTTGGGCAATCTTTACTCAACGTGTCACTGTTGCTTTACGCAATCCTTTTTTTTTTCTTTTTTTCTTGTTTGTTTGTTTGTTTTATTTCGCCCGCTGTTTTTTTTTTTTTTTCTCCCCCTTTCGTTTCTCTCTGGTTGTGAGTGTCTGCGGCGGAAGAAGAAGTTGGCATGTGGGAATGCGCGCACACACACAAAAAAAAAAAAAAAAATGTTTGATTTCTCTTCTTTTTTTTCTTTTCGTTCGTCCATTTCCCGCTCGCCAATTCACACTTAAATTTCCTCTTTTTTTTTTTTTTTTTTTTCCTTCTTTTCGAATTTCACCGCGGCGCCGCAGGACGCGGGACTCGCCGGAGACACACACACACACTTGTATTTATAAATATAAAGAAAGAAAGAAAAAATAATCATCCCCCTCCATGCAGTCATTTGAGAGCCGCGTCCGCCCACTTTGGGAAGCGGAGGCATGTCAACTCCAACGCTGAGGGCAAAGACCCAAATGTCCTAATAAAAAAAAAAAAAAAAAAAAAAAAATAGAAGAAAAAACAATTATTCTTTGCTTTTTTATTTTTATTTTTATTTATTCCCTTTTCCCCCGCCGTTCCGTTTTACCGATTCAAAATATATTTCTGGACTCTTTTTTTTTTTTTTTTTTTTACATCGACACATCCCATCATTTCCCCCTTTTGCTTTTTTTTCCTCTTTTTCTCCTCCCCCACATCTTGCACTGCCCCTTGCGGCTGTTGCTTTTACTCCCTTCTTACTCACTCAGGGAGAGTGAGCCGCAGGAGAAGAAGAAGAAGAATAGACAAAAAAAATATATATATATATATTTATATAAAGAGTTCAGTCGATGGCACCCACAAAAAACTGTCATCGCATACGTGTCACATGACGGTGCATCCACCACTCGACCCACCACCCGCCGCACTGCGTCCCTTGTACTTTGCAAGCCACTGCATCTGCGTTTGGTTGATGGCACCCCGTCGCTTCTCGCGGACGAGTGTAATGGCGTCAAGAGGCTCCATGCCGCCGTACTCCACAAGCGCCACAGCCACAAGTATGGGCGCACGGCCAAGACCAGCCACGCAATGAATGGCAATAGACGCGGGCTGCGTGGAGGCACCAGAAAGCAGCCTCTCCTTCTCCTTGTCGAGGAGTTGGAACCAACTCTCTAGCACCGACTTTGGCGGTGCAGCCCCGTCGTCAAAAGGCCAGCTGTGTACTTCAATCCCGTCCTTCTCCAGCTGTGAGGCGTCGTACGTCGGACCGCAAACCCGCACGAGATGACGCACGTGACGCCTTTGAAGTGCCTTGATGTACGTGTGGAGGCTGCTGGGTGACGGGGCATCCAAAATCAGCAGATTAAACAACGTTCTCGAGGTGTCCCTTCTATCCTTGCACTCAATCAATGTGCAGTTGACATCCATTGCCGCTGAAAAGTCGTATTTCTTCCACACCAAAAGGGAAGGAAGGGAAAAAAGGATATACGCGCCGTCGTCGAAAGACAGCAGAGCTGCGGGAAGGGGTAAATGAACGATAACCGGATTGGCACAACACCACCTTCAGTGCAGCCAAAACGTTTTCTAACAACAAAAATAAAAACTTAAGCTATAGATAAGAAGAACAACAACAAAAAAAAAAGTCTGTAAAAGTCACGTTCGTCAGTTCACCAGCCTTTTACCTTGTTTCCTACACGTGAGGCTTTCCTATACTTCTTCTATTGCGGTGGAAGTGTTGCCGGTACAAACATCCCAAGCAAGCAGGAAATGAAAATAAAAGAAAGAAAAGGTAAAAAAAAAGTATACATATATGCACGTTGCGTGCATATATGTATGAGATGGCACCATTCCTTTCGTGGGTCACCATGCATGCAAAAACAGACCGTAATAAATATCATTCCTCACCCCGTGGCCGCTTCCAGCGTCCCCAGAAAGCGGAAATGTACCGCCACCAGCCACGGCTGCTGCTCATGTGTTCGTCTCCATGCGGTGTGGTGGTATTCTGCTCCACCTCCGTTGCTCTTTCGCCAGCACCTCGCGGTCTTTCATCACGTCCATTTGACGCTACTGTCATCTTTCCGTTCTCCTCCATGTTATTTATTATTTGCAGCTCCTTCACAAGGAAGAACCCGCAGCTTGGGCGTGTCACCATAAAGTACCCTTTGCGGCGGTAGTAATTGCGCACCCCGACACCGCTGATGACGGCAATCCTCTTGTACCCCGCGGCACGTGCGATGCTCTCCGCCCGCTCCAGCAGCAACGACCCCACGCCACGGTGTTGCGCCTTCGCCGTGTCAGCCTCCTTGTGTGTTGGCACTAATCGCCCATAAACATGCAACTCGCGGATCAACGCACATGACCGCAGCTCGTCAAAGGGGGTTATCCAGTTCTGAATGTGAACACGAAGACGCAAGAAGCCAAAAAGTGTTAATCCATCCACGCTTTCATACGACACGAACACTTCTTCTCCCTCACTTGCAACGTAGCGACGCTCCACCAGCGTTGCCTCCTCAAGTTTTTCCGCGGCCGCCGCATCGGCTTTAACCTCGCGGCAGCGAATGCACTGACAACGGCAGCCTTCCCGTTGAAGTTTTGTCGCGAGAAGTTGACGCAGATTTGATACCTCCACACCTCCAAGAATGTATTCATGGGGAATGTCGCGTATAACGCGGTTCAGTCGCACCCATGGCTGTACTCTACGTTTGGCGTGCAGAATAACTTCAATTAAGTTATCCAGGCCATATGGTTGGTACTTCCCCTCCTTGAACCACTGCTCAATCACCGTGAAGGGTGTGGTTTGACAGGGATAAATTTTCCACTGATCCGCCTGCAGATCCGCTGAATACAAAACATCGTCAAACATCGCCTTATCTCCCTCCGGAGTAGACCCTGGTAAGTCCGGCATGAGATGAATGTCGACCTTAAAGCAGCTATCTTTTAAAAGCTTAATGGCGCGAACAGCCTCCTCCCTTGTAGACTGTCGATTGACTGCCAACAACACCGCGTCATCGGTGTGCTGCACACCAAGCTGCACCCGCGTGCAGCCAAATCGCCGTAGCTGCTGCAGCATTTCCTCGTTTATCGTATCCGGCCGTGTTTCCAGCGTGACTCCTATAATTTTGCATAAGGCAGTTTCGTTCAGCATCTGTTCCTGAAGCAAATCCATTGGAGGCCGTGAGTGGCTTGGCTGTGGCGCCGCTGCATTGCTGTCGGTGCCATCATTGACCTCGCTGTAGTCATGGAGCGTGTTGGCGGCGTAAAAGAGGTCACGGATGAAAGACTCACGGTATGAGAGCGGATAACTCTCCCACGTACCACCGAGTACGAGCAACTCAACCTTGTCGGCAGGATGTCCAATCGCTACAAGTGACTTCACGCGGTCTTGAAACTGCGTGTAGGCATCAAACGCCAACCGGTTGGCGCGGCGCACGCCAGGCTCGTTAAGCAAATAACTGCGTGGCTGCCCCGGCTCATTCGGGCAGTAGTAACAGTTCCACTTGCAGCTAAACTTCTGCCCTTCCGGATACGGTGATGTAAAGACAGTAACGACGAGGACCCCCGACTGACTTCGGGGCGCTTTGGAGACAAAATACCGCTCCAGCACGTCGTTGCCACGCCGCTCCGTCTCCGCCTGCAGCCACTTCCGATACGCCGCGAGCAAAAGTGACTTCTTCGCCACTACTCGGTGCTTTTTCATAAGCTTCCGCAGCTGCTGTTCAATCTGCTGCACAGACGACGGCTGCGCCTGCGCGATGGCCTCAATGAACGTCGTCGCCGTATTCATTTGCTCGTCGGTGTAGACGTGCGGGTCCTTTTCCGCCAACAGCCGCTCCAGCGTGGGCAAATTGCGCAGCTTCGCCCGCACCTTCGCCATGTCAGGCCTGTGCGGCCCGGTGAAAGTATCATCCTCGTCGCTGCTCGAGCACGACATAATTTTTCTCTCCCCCCCCCCCCACTTTCCCTTTTTTTTACGTGTGTGAGTGTGTGTAGCTGCCACCTGCACGCAGCGCACACACACACACAAAAAAAAAAAAGGAAAAAAGACGTGTAAACAAGGCACGTGTGTTGTCACATGCGTCCTTTTTTTCTTTCCACCACCACCGCCGCACCCCGTAAACCGTCTTTCATTGGCAATACTCACACACGCACATCTGCTTGGAGTGTGCAGCTTCATTTGGCGCGTGCAAAAAGATATTAGCAGTACGCAAGCATGCGATCCTCACGGCATCCCCACAGGATTGGACCGTGACCCGCTCTCGCTCAAAATAAAAATAAAAAACGCCAACACACACACAAAAAAAAAAAAAAGAGAGAAAAAAAAACCATTTTTTTTTTTTTTTTCTGTATTCCCGCCGTGTCATTGTGCACCATCAAATTTCTCTCACGCCTACATGACCGCACACCCCGCGCAACTCAAAGACCCCTCATTACTCTCCTGATGACGCGGTTTATAACGCATAAGCCAGTTGAGCTGCACCTGATTGATGGCGCCTTTGCGCCGTCCTCGCACGTAACCCACCGCGTCGAGTGGCGGCATTCCGCCGTACTCCACAAGTGCCAGCGCAACCAAAATGGGTGCTCGGCCAAGTCCAGCAACGCAGTGCACGGCAATCGTCTCTGGGGGTGACTTGTTCTTCTCCTGTTCGAGCAAATTCAGCCAATTGTCAATGACGGTCTGCGTTGGTGGGGCACCGTCGTCAAAGCTCCAGCCGTGCACCACCATTCCCTGCTTTTCAAAAGCCTCCGCACTGTACGTCTGGCCACATGCCCGCACAATTTGCCTCACGTTGTACCTCTGCATCAACTTGACATACGCGGTGACGCTGCTGGGCGACGGGGCGTCAAATATGAGGAAGCGGAAGACAACAGCGTCGGACTCCCCGCGCCTGCACTCCACCAGCGTGCCGTTGGCCCCCATGCCATGCACATTAAAGAGCTAAAAATAAAAATAAAAAGGACTAACAAAAAAAAAAAAAAAGAGCGGATGATCCAAAAGTAATACGCCAGCAGCTGGGAGAAACACACAGTTCAATCACGCAGAACAAAATTACCCCCGACTGCCGCAGCCGTGGTGATGGTGAATGGGGAAGAGAACCCTCAGGTCACAAGCCGGACACACTCACGGGAGAAAACAAAAAATAAAACACACAAAAGTGCAAAATGAAAAACAAAAAAACCCGCAGTGCTAGCCCCAAAGAAAAGAATGATTCCACATGGAGGAAAAGCCCTGGAAAGCAAACTAAGTGTCAAGTCAAGTAAAATAAAATATATAAAATGAAAGTTGCATCCACGCAAAAAGCGGCAATTATTTCAGAGGGTGCGTGGAGAGGCATATATATATTGCTCCCGCTGGAGGCAGGAATTCCTCATTACGATTTCTCAGTAAAGGGCCGCAATGCCCCAGCAGCAGTAGGAGCGCCCGCGACACGCCCCCACCCATGGAGCCGTCACCGCTCTTCTTGACCATTTTTATTTCATGGACACTCAGTGGGCGGTCGTACAGAAAGACGTTCGTCACCGTCAAATCGCTGTCGCTGTCGTCTTCGTCTCCCCCAATGTAGAAGAATGAGAGACTTCAGCCTCAACTGTTGGTATCGTCTCTGAGTTCCCCACAATCACACCATCCACGTACACGGAGCCCTTGTTGCCGTCCTGCAGCATCAACGCCACCTGGTATTCTCTCCCCGGCTCTTGCGTGGTGTTCGATGTCGTTTTTGTGCCGTTGAACACCTTCTCCCACGTTTTATCCATGCCGTACGAGAGACCAATGAACTTCGCGCCCTGACTACTTCTCAGAGACGCAGACTGCAGAAAAGTACTGCTCTTAGCGGTGTGATGATAACTCCTCGTGAGTCAGCTGCGTCCCTCAAAAACGGCGGCACAGAGTGAGAGTGAGAGAAAAAAGCAACAAAACATAAATGAGGAAAAACGTAGAGAGAAAGAAAACAAATAAATCAAAAAAGACATGCGGAGAGAGCCACACCATTCATTCCTGGCGTCACCACGCTTGTTGTTTGTTTGTTTGTGTGTTTCTCACCCACCACCCTTTTTTTTTTTTTTCTGTTTCTTCGTCTTCCGTCCTCCTCCTTCTCTCCCTCTCTCCACCGCTGTTTTTTACAGCAGCGCAGCCTTCAGGTACGCAGAGCCTGCGCCGGCTTTTGACATCGCCTCTGCCACAGCCTGTTGCGTCGCCACGCTGAACAGTCGCTCCTCACGGCGGATCATTTTCCCGAGCGCCGTTGCAAAACTCTCGTACTGCGCCTGCACGTGGAGCGGCGGGAGGTACAACGGCCGCTGCGGGGGCATGCCACGCGTCACTGGCCCAATCCGCTCCGCATGATGATTGCGGCGGTACTCCTCACCGGCAATGATGTCATACACCAGCCGAATAGGCGCGTTGAGGTGCTCCATGCCACACAACGAGTGCAGCTCCATCGCCCTCTGAACAATCGCACGCAACTCCTCGACAAACGATGGCACGCCGAATCCCTCAAGTTGAGGGTCATCGTCCGCATACTTCCCCGCCGCAACGTCGTGTGCATCCATTGGCTCCCCGCTGTGCCTATTCAAAAAGAATGCTAACCGAGCCACATCGCCTATACGCAGAAGAGCAAGAAGCTCCGCCGCAAGGGCCACCTCCCTCCCTTCACGCGTCAGTTTGGCTCCGCATTGACGAAATAATGTCACAACAAACCGCACAACCGACTCCCAGTGCTCATTTTCCACCATGCCCATGACGGGGACTGCAACCGTCACCTCATTGAACACAGAGCGACCGCTCATTTCAAGGCCTGAAATGCCTTTTAGGCGCTTTAAAAGCTCCATGGCCTCTTTCCATTTCCCCGCGCATCCAAATGCGCGAAGGCAATAAACATGATTCATAAAACTAGCCTGCTCCGACCCCACTTCTTCAATCCACTGCATGACCCTCAGCACAACATCCCAGGAACTGTGCTTCATTGCCACCACGTGCAGATCACGCAAGAGCTGCGGCGGCGGTGCAATGTGATTCTTATCATACAGATGCAGTACCTCAAATGCGCGTTGCCATGATGCCGCATGAAGATTCAACATCAATTTTTCTACCGAAGCATCATCAGGGAAGATATCATACTGATTCATGATGGAATTTGCGACACAAAGAGCTGTCTGCCATGTATGACTAATTGAAATGCTCTGCAGACCGCTGAGGATGCAGCGAAGATGTGCGGCAGTGACAACAAATTCACGCCGCTCATCGCACAAACGCAGCAGACGAAGTGCCGACACCCATCGATCGGTCGGAGGGGAACTCAGCAGCGTAACAAGTAACTCCCTGCCAACTGGTGCCTGGCTGCCAGATGAAGACATCTCATTCCATTGATGAAGCTGTGAGTCACCAAGACATAAAAAAACACATTGTGCCAGTGCGCTCGGGACTTGCACGCCGCAGTCACGCAAGGCAACGGCAACTTCAATAAACAGCGGCAGTCCTATAAACCGCGCCTGGGCCTCCTTTTGTTGATGCGACAAGGACGCACAAAGGCTTTCAACTGCAGAACGCATTGCCAAAAGACGTGCGTCATTTGCAATTGATGGGTTGGCGCTTCGCCGAGCCATGAAATTGTCCCCAATCGTCGCCGCCTCCTCCCGCAGTGCACGCAGCACAGCCTGCAGAAGGTCCACCTTGACGACCTTCTTCGCATGCAGCAGATGCGGCCGAAGGGCAAAGCACAACGAGGCAATGGTTTCCCATGCGACACGCTGCTCCGGCCGGTTGTGCACAGTAGAAGGTGCGTGCGTCAATTGGGCCGTGATATCCCCCTGCAAAAGGCAAAGTGCAAACCGCGTTACCATTTCTACACTTGTCTTGCGAAGGAACTGCAAAGCCGCTGTTGGCTCCTGGAGCGTGATAATGAAAAACTCCGGGCACTCCCGCAGTGCCTCCTCCCACTGACCCCCGGACGAGCCGTACAAAGTGGAGGAAGACGAGGTGTTGAATATGAGCCCACGCAACGCCTCCTCCGCGTTGAATGGTGCCACAACATCCGTCAATGTCTTTTCTGTACCGCTAACTCCCATGGGTTGGGAGAAACTCTCCTCATCACTCGCTTTGCGTATCCCGTCACTGTCACGTTCTCCCGTCCGTCGTCTCGTTGGGAGGAGCCCTTTCGACTTCCAGTTCATGACGCACTGCATCAGATCCTTGTACCGTCGCCGCCGACGAAGCTCCAGGAACAGTTGACGCTGCATCACCGCGTTGTACCCCGCCCTCTCCTCCTCCTCCTCCTCCTCGCCATCGTCGTTATTCGAATCGGTGAAGTGAAGTGAAGCCCGTCTGCGTTGAGACTGCGGCCGCTGCAGCGCAAACCCCAACCGCAGCAGCTTCTCATTCGACATCTCAGACAACTCCATTGCTGGGAAAGGGCCCGCAGCAGTAGCAGCAGCATTATCCGTCTGCTGCTCCTGACAATGAGGCCCGATTGGCTGGTGTGGCAGGTCTGTCAGCCCCAATGAGGTGACAAGTGACTGCCGCTGAGCCTGTGGAAGGGCGTCTGCGACCAAAATAGCCCGGCTTCGCTCGCCGCTCTTCAACAGCAATTCGCACACCTCCCGCAGCTCCAACAGCGGGGTGCTGCAGGTGGTGGTGCCTAACAATCCATGCACCTCCCGCCGGATGGCGGCGGCAGACAACACTGTGAATCGCTCGTACAAATTAATAACTCGCGAGTAGGGCGGCATTCCCGTTTCCCGTGACCCTCTTTTTGTTTTTCTCAGGACGTTCCACAAACAAAAAGAGCCGTGGGCGCACCCCCACTCACTCACTCATTCACACACACACAGAGAGAGAGAGAGAGAGAGGGTGAAAAGCGGGAAGATAATACGGCACCAAAAAAAAAAAAAAAAAAAAAAAGCAAGCCGGTGGATGTGAACACCAGTCTTCTTGAGAGCTCCAAAGAAAAAAACGGACATGCAGACAATAAAATAAATAAATAAAATAAAAAGGCAGTCCAACTCCTTCACTGCAAAAGAGGGACCAAAAATTCTTTAAAAAGAGAAATACGACTGGTCATGTTTGCCGTAAATCCAAGACCTTTCAAAGGTACTTACCGTCATTTCTCCCGCTTCCGTGTCCCCCTCCAAATAACCTAATTCTTCTCTTTTTGAAATCTCTCCCTTTTTTTATCCCTGCAAGCACGGCTCAAATTCACACCCAATGAGACCGCTACCAGCCCAACGCGTTGGCACCAACAAAATCTCAACAGCCTCATCCTCCGCCTCACCCTTGCGCTTCACCCACACGCTGATCATTTTCCCTTCGTGACTGGCTGTCACCCGTGCCATCTCGCCAAATCCTTTTGCCGCCACCGTCGTCGCATCAATTTCACCGTACTGCACGATAAGGTCGCCCGCAGTCAAACCCGCCTGCGCGCCAGGACTGTTAGCTGAAGTCGTCAAAACCCGAACAAACGGTGATTTTTTCGACATTTCACGCACCAGGCGCCTTCGCTGCTCACGTTGCACAGCTTCGGATTTGCCTTTCCGCCGCGCCTCGTTATCTCTTTCCATCTGCTTCGTTGCCTCCTCCTGGTTTTCCTCGTGCAGCAAGGCAAGCTTTTCGTGCATGGAATTCTCCAATGCCTTGAGATCGTTTCTCCCGCAGATCACCGCCTGCCGAGCTCGACGTACGGCATACAAGTCACAGTCATTACGCGGGAAGCCTTCCCCGTCAACGAGAGGGCCATCCAATCCCACCGGTGTTGTGTTGAGAAACGCCATCGCCTCCTCTATCTGCCTCATAACTGCCGCTCGCTCCTCATCCAACCGCAGCAGCTCCTCCCGCGAGGAAGACGTCAGGCCGCTCATCATGCTATGTTGTTTGCAGGCGCACACCAATTTAACTCCCCCCCCCCTTCGTGCTGTTCAAGCGATATTTATTTCCTTTTCTCTGCTCCTCCAGCCAAAACGGATGTTGAAGAGTAGTGGGCGGATTGTGCCGCAAAAAATGGCAGAGAAGCAAAAGAAAAAAAAAGAAACAATTAATAATAATAAGAATACTCCAGGAATAAAACAAGCGCCATGCAACACAAAACCAACAAACATGGAAAGAGAAAGAAGGGCTGCTGTGAACGGCGGTGGAAAATAAGTCAGCGTTGCATACGCATTGGATGGTTCAAAATGGAACAACAGTCATCGCAGACAACAGCGCGGAAAAAAACAAAGAGACACATGGGAGACGGCATATTGGGATTGTGAGGCAAACAACCAAAAAAAAAAAAAAGAATAAAAACACGGATATGAAAGAAACAAACACCAAAAATCATCACCCGCCGTCATTTCTGGTGTCGCCACACGCATCCCACTTCTTCTTCTGCTCCTATAACCTACACATCACCCGCCATTCGTCTCGGTCCATCGAACCCTCCACTAACACTATCATCATCATCACCAATGTTAGCCGTTGTGATTTCCAGTGTAAGAGATTTTTTCTCGCCCTCTTGGCTCCCTTTACAGGCGATAGATGCTCTTCAAAATAGAGCCGTACTTCAGCTGGAGTTCTTTGGACTTGATCGCCTCCGTGTCCGTCACCTCTCGGAAAAACGGTAACTGTTTGTGGTAATACAACATTGACTTGAGCGTCTGAGTGACATGCATAGTGTATGCAAGCCCGCCACTGCCGTGTAAAGCCGTTGAACGTTGTTCTGGTGGAACAAGTAATGATTCGGCGTCAGGCACTGGCTTGGCGAACGGTCCAATTCCCTCTCGGCCAAGCCCCAGCTCATCGAACCCAATGTCATGTGTAGAGAGCATTGGTAACGGCAGCAATGTACCGTCGTGAAAAAAAAGATGTGCTCCAGTGATGTCAATTGCCTCCATAGCCACGGGAGAAGTATTAGCAGGGACCTTCGCGCCAGTGGGCGCTCTCCCGCTGGTACAGGTGTCGTTGGTAACCCCGTCTTCCCCGTCAGTGTCCGTAGATGTACGCTCAACAAACGTCGCACTGGAATTCGTCTCACCGTGTAGCCGTTGTGGGCTCATCGCCTCCTTCTTCGCAAGCACCTCATCAATGACCGCTTTCATTTGTTCCTTTGTTCCAATTTTCTCCGGTGCCACAAATGGGTCGTTAAGCATAGCTGTCGCGGTGGGTCGCAGGCGATAGTCTTTTATCAGCAACCGCTTCAAGAAGAGGGCCATCTGCGGTGACCACCGATCCTTGTCATGCAACGTTGGGGGATCCACCTTTGGGATCATGAAGAGTGCTCGGGCGGGATGCGTATCAATATACGGCGGTGCCCCCTCTGCCATCTCAATCAGCGTGATGCCTAAACTCCACAAATCCGCCTTCTCATCGTAGTCCAGCTCAAGAATCGCCTCGGGGGACATCCAAAGCAGCGTCCCAACAAATGTATTCCGCCGTGACAGGGAATGGGACAGTTCCGTGCTAACGCCAAAGTCTGCCAGCTTCACGTCACCATCACGAGTGAGCAAAATGTTGCCACCTTTGATATCACGATGAATTTTTCGGTTCGCGTGCAGGTACTGGAGTCCAAGCAGCACCTGACGACAGACGTACGCGATGAGGTTCTCCGGCAGCGGGTGCCGCAACACTTTGTACACCATATCCACCGACCCGCCTTCACAGTACTCCATGACAATCCACAGCTTGCTAAGCGACTTGTGAGCTCCGTAATATCGCACAATATTAGGGTGAACGCACTTCTTCAGGATGCTGATTTCCTTCTGCACAAAGTCACGCTCGTCCTTGTCAACAAGAAGCACGAGCTTAATGGCCGCAATCGCCTGCGTCTGTCGGTTGCGGGCTTTTATGACGGACCCGTAGTTGCCGACGCCAATGGGGCCAAGCTCCTCGTAAAGTTCCTCGGGCTCCGTGTCGGAAATAAAAAGATCCTCAAAGATCTCATCGTTGCCCATCTCGCCACGCACGCCGTCCTCCTCCTCCTCCTCCCTCCCTCTCCGAGAAATACAAGAGATGGAGGCCTAAGTTAAAAGAAGAAGAAGAAAAAGAAGGGAAAAAAAAAAAGGCAACTGTAGAAGATGTATAAAGCGGTCCACAAGAATGATGCCCGCCAGGTAGAAAGTAAACAAAAATTATATATTTATGTTGTGGACACCAAAGGCCATGCGTGCGTCGCGGATTGGTGGTGATTAAAAGGGAACAAAGCGCCTCCTTGCAAGACGTCCACACATGGATAGGGCCAAAAAGTACCGGAGAAGTATGGGCAAACACACACACACACACACACACACGCAAAGGCATCAATGTCTCAATCACTGCGGGCTCGCTTGAGTGGTGACATCCCTTTGGCCTCACGGTGGAGCCAAAATGCCTCCGGAAGAGTGAAACTCACACAAACCATGCGCTTCAACGGCGCGACATCCCGCACCATGTGCACTGCCTCCAGGTTTTCCCCCGCCAAGCTGAACGCCAGCCACCGCTCCACCTGCTTGACGGCATCACCCAAAAAGTCATCCATATTCTTTGAAAAGCAGTAAACATGAAAGAGCAATCGCTTGTCTGGATGCATCTTCACGTGTTCCCCTTTTTCTTTGCCTTCCTTAGCCTTCTCCTCCAATGATGATAACGACACCAGCGGTTGTGACCAGGGCGGCTTGGTGAATACATCCAAAAACTCCACCGCAATGGCTGGAAGATTCATCGTCACGTGGCGTCGACCACACACCGCCGCCCCACTCACTACGTCACGGTAGAGAACTGTATTCAGGAACTCACGGCCGTCCATGTTGAACACATGAAATGTATCTTTGTTGATGTGATTGAGCTCCGCATTGATGCGCAGATACTCCGCTGCAACGGGGTTCAGATCATTCGCGTAAGTTTTAACGCCGGCCACGGCAGCGGGTATGGCGAAGGGCCCAACACCCGCCATGGCGTCATAAAGCATATCCCCGCTCTGCATCATGCCAACAACCCGCGCGTGCTCGTGGCTAAGTCGCGAGTTCCAATAAACGCGATCGTACGGAACGCGAAAGATGCAGCCATGCTGTCGTACAGTCGCCAGCAGAAGGCCGTGCAGTTCCTCCTCGTCTCCACTATTTTCTTTCACCGGAGTTCCCTTCATGTCGGAGTGGGTGGTGCGCCTCGCAATGACTTCCATCTTGAACTCGCGAAACACGCTTGCGATGTTGTCCACTTTGTTCACAACGACACGCACGGTGGGGTTGCAGTCCAAAATGACGGCGCCAATGTCCGCGCGATACGGCAGGTGGGCGGCAGAGAGGTTGACGTGCGCTATGTGGCCCACCTGCTCAAAGCCGCTCAGCGGAATTGTCCCCGGCGGAAGAATACGCTGCAGAAGCTCCGGCATCGTGAAATTTCTGTGGCTCAGTCGCACAGTGTGTTGGGCCACCGCCACACGAAGACTCTGCGCGACGGACCGTTTGCCCAGCAGGAATGACTGCAGTCGCTCCCGCACGACAGGCGGCACCGACGCGTGGTTCGCCTCCACCCAAAGGGGTTGTGTTGGTGCCATCGAGTCGTTCTTTGCAGCAGACGATGGGGGAGGAATTACTTGTGGGTTCAGCAGCAGCAGTTTGTGTTCCTCGCCGGGGTCCGAGGTGGGCTGCGGGGCGTCCATCACATTGCGCACCCCTCGCATGTCGTATAGGCAGCCACGCAACGCCTTCAGCACCTCCCCGAGGAGATGGACGGGTTTGACGCGCAACGCCATCAACTCCACAGACGCCTCCACACGTGTACGGTACGACGGCGGCTCGTCATGGTCCATCGGTCCCTTTTCTCCTCCTCCCTGGTGACGTTCCTCACCAGACATGTGCATACATGTGTCCACAACAGCCATGGAAGAAAAAAAAAAGAAAAAAAAAAGGGAAAGGCGGTAGCGGATACGCATATAAAAACATGGTGGCGTCATTGAAAACAACAACGTGCAGCACAAATAACCCCCAAACTCCCAAACTCCCAGAAAAATTACTTCCAACACACCACCAACACTAATAATAATAATAACAAAAAAAAAAAAAAAAAACAGCATTTGGGAATACGTTTCTCAGACAAGTAGAATAACGCCAACAGTAAAAGTAAAAATAAACAACAGCAAAAAAAAATAAATAAATAAATAAATAAATACAAGTCAACATAGATATAGATATAGATGCGGGCTGCGAAACCAAACACCGACTCTCCCACGGCAGGTTAGGAAGGGAAAGGGAAGGAATGAAAGTGACGGGGGGCGCAAAGAAGTCCTGCCCATCGCCCATCCCACCGCCGCATGTCAACTGCCCACGTCTAATTATTCCCCTTCCCTCCGTGCGTAATTTGAGCAGCTTCTAATGAACTCTAACAGGGTAAGAAATGTGTCCACACTTACACACACAATTTAAAAAAAAAAAAAAAAACATCAAAAAATTCCCCTCCTCCTCCTCCTCCCCTTTTTTCCTTTTCCTTTTTTTTTTTTCTTTTCTTCACTTTATTTATATTTTCTTAGACCCTTCTTTTCTGCTGCTCCTTAAACAGCAGGTATGTCAAGAGGCATCGTTCAATTATCTCCTCCCCACCCAGCTCAGCCAATACATATATTTATATTTATATATAATGGACACAGAGAGGGTTTGAGTAACGTGTGCGAAAGAGCACACACAAATACACAAAACTACACGTTTGCAAAAATAAAAATAAACAACAACAAAAAAAAAAAAAGTCGTGAAAGGTAAAGGGTAGCGAAGATATTTCTTATTATTATTATTATTGTTCTCTCAACCATGATAGCAGTGTGTGGGGAATAGTGGGGCCTTGACAAAATCTCCTCGATTTTCTTTTTTTATGTTTGTTCTTTTCTAGTTTTGTTTTTGTTGTTGTGGTGGTGGTGTTGGTGGTGGTTCTTCTTCTTCTTCTTTTTCATTTTCGCCCTCTACCCGCTTTTAATGGCAAATCAGGGGCCAATGTCCTCACTTTGACTGTTGTGTTCCCCCGCATCCGCACACCCCATCCAAATCCCACACGCACAGTTGTGTGGTGCCACTTCTACTTCCACTCCTTTTACTTTTCCCTGCATCTCGTGGCGGTTGGTGATGGTTCCTTCAATTGCCGCACAGAGAGCTTTTCCTTTCATAGGGCACGGAGGCCCGTCTGGACCGTAATGAACGAGACGCGGAGGAAGGGCGGCAGCTGACGGCATCACATAATTCCTTCAAAGTAAACAACAGTTGTGACCTCACAGACTCGCAGGTAGAAAGAATTCGCCGAAGTGTTGCGAGGGTCCTTTTGCGAACCTCGTAGACATGTCCCCGTGTTGTCTCCGTGCTGTAGCTGGGCGGGATGTCACGTTCCATCCGCTGAATGCACCTAAGAAATTCCATCACCCGCACCGCCCCAATTTCCAAAAATTCCCTGCTCTTTGCATCCACTTGGCCCTGCTTCAGGCAATGCCAGCATGTATCTTCCACACTGACAGAAAATTCATCAAAAAAACCGTTCATGAATTCTCCACAACGCTTCCCCAATAAGGCATCTTGATGCCGCGCAATATCCCCAGAGGAGGGAACAGTACTCGGTGCGCCACTGGTGGTATTAAAATTGACTGTCTGTTCCTGTTGCTTTTCCTGATTATTATTATCATTATCATTATTATTACACTTCTTGTGGGCAACAGAATGATGCTGCCGCGCAGACAATGCGGAATCGCTAAAACGACGCCCACCTGTATTAAAAGAGGCAAGCGGAGAGGCATCACGACCATTCGAAGAAGTTTGGCGTTTGTCCCATGCATGACATACTGCGGATGACGGGCACGACTTCTGTCGCTGCAATGGCCGTGCAGAAGAAATCGATTTTAAGTGGGTACGCCCCACTGGATGCGGATGGGGCGCACGGACAGGCTCACCAAAACTCGTGCGCCGTGACGTGCTGCCAGACACTTCAGAATGCTGGTGAGATCCTATCGAGGAATTACGTGATGCGGGCTGCGACGACGCGGAGTACTCGTGCCGCGGAACCCCCACCACAGGCCCGGAATCCACCCCTTCTGACGTGTGGCACCGTTCCTTTTGCTTCTCCAACGACTCGGCATGTGGTGCAAATTCGGAATCTTTGGAGGGTTGGTAGGACATGCTGCGTGACGACATGAGCACAGAAGACGGGGAGCGAAAGAGCGGTGGCGGCACGAAGAGTTTGTGGGCTGTAACACGTTGCCGTGACAGTAAAGAGACTCCTGTGTTACTCCCGTTCATTTGCAATGCCGTGTGCACAACGACAGGCTTCTTCTCCAACGCGTTGACCTCCGCTGTCGCCGGTCTCACATCTGAAAATTCAAACGCCCTCAATTTCGTTACGGCGGTGGTGTTGGTGTTATTCGCACGAGTGTGTCCCACACAAGACGCAGCGGGCTGCTGCTGCTGCGCCCCTTCGGAGCGACGCTCCTCCCTTTTCCTCGGCGTCTTTGGCGGTTCTTCGCCTTCACATTCCCCGTTCGCGGCACATGGAGATTCCTTCTTTCCACTCACCGCCTTCACGGATGTCCTTTTGCAGGCGTACTGCTGGTCTCTGTTTGTCATCATATCCCTCAGCGGTCCACCGCCGTGGGCCACCGTGGGCGGCGGCGGCGGCGGTGGCGGAGATAAGGAATTGCTTCTCTTCTCCAGCTGGAGTGCCGCTGCCATGTACGGTGAGAAGGTGGACGATGTCACACTACAATTCTCGTTGGAGACACGGTCGTAAGATGCCGTTTCGGTTGAAGCCGCCTCTGGCACCTCGGCTGCTGCTGCTGTTGTTTCTTCGTTTGCCTCTGCTGCCTTGGCGCACGCTTCGTCCACACGTCGGAGGCAAAATGCTGATGGCTTCTCATTCAACTCCAACGTGTCTCCGATAAAAATGGCCCGCAATACGTTGGTTTCAGGAATCAAGCAGATGCCAGCATTATACAGTGTAATGTACGCCGACTCAATGGGATCGTTATGTGGGGTTGAGCCGCGCCCATGATCCGCAACATCACAGCGGTAACGTCCGTTGCTGGCATGAGTATTGTCACCATCATTTCCCAACGGAGAACTGGCTGATTCATCAACGCCATTGCCGTTGCTGCGGTGGTCGTGATTGACTCCAAACTTGACCGCAATTCTGGTAAACATATCATCGCTCACAAGGGCCATAGTTGTCTTCGCATGTGTGTATGGCCAAGCCATCGTCGTCTTTTCAGGCGGCATGAACGCCACCACCGCACCAGAGTAATCCAAGAGAGACTCGTACCTGCTATTTAACTGTGTGTCGGCAATAAAAAAGGCGTAGCTCCGCAGCAGTCTGCGTGGGGGTGGTTGTGGCGGCGCCAAGAGGAATTCACCCACGTTATAAAATGACCTCAAGGGCGGTATATGTTCTTCCACAGGGAACTTTGAGGAGATGGAACGGGCCAAAGTGGGTGAGGCAAATTGCAGGGGAGAGACAGCGCTATCCTCCCGGAGTTTCTCCACAAGGGACCTCACGTAACTCGGCGTCGTCACATGATACTGGTGGGTCATCGCAAGCAGCACTTCGGGCGTCATCTCGTACCCATCTTGTGTCACGTAAAGAAACCCAATGCAATCAATCTGCATGTGAAAAAATGTCTCACGTGGTAAGACGGGTTCATGCAGGATCGATGCACCCAAAGAAACCGCGTCGCTGAAAAGCAGCAGCCGCTCCGCCTCGTTCAGCTTGGACGATGCCACTAAAATCAGCGCCGTGCTGAGCACCCGAGCGGTCACGCGCCTGCCAAATTTAATAGTATCCTCACGGTAAACAAAGCGGCTATTTTCGCGGCCAATGAGCTCCTTGTTGACCAGTGTGCCGTGCTTGGAGCAATCCGTCACACTCACATCCATCTCTGTGTTCGGGTCCAACACGTCATATGGTGACATGGCCCGCACGGTGATGGTGGCGTGGTGACGCGAGATGGACGGGTCGCCGTTGGGCAGCAGCAAACGACACTCTTTTCGCCCAACGGTGTACGTCTCCCCAGCGAGAAGAAAGTGCCGCCGCACATCGCCACGACCGCAATTTACCTCCAGAACCCGCATGGACGGCCAAATGTAATGCGTCCTGCACCCCGCTTGCCCGCCCCCCTTTTTTCCTCCTCTTCCTCCTTCAAGGTTTGAGGCAATAATGAGCAAAAACAGTGATCCTACTGATGGGGGTCAGTAATAATAAAAACAACAGTCTCCCTCAATCCTGTTCCCAGTGATGCTCCCCTTCTATTCTTTTCTTTTTTGGTTTGGTTTGGTTTGTTTGTCCCCAGTTCGTCTAAACGCGTTTGATTCGCAAGTGCCCCCCACCCTACACACACACAAGCAGAAAGAGAGAGACAGAGAGAGAGAAAAAAAAAAAAGAGATGATATTCAGAAGGGAAACAAAAAAAAAAAAAAAAGGGAGGGGGACAGCCGCAAAGAGAGCTACACGGCAGTCGTCATGGTAAATGCAAACAACATCCCCTCGCTTTTCCCTTTTCTTTTTTTTTTTTCTTTTTTTTTTTAAGGAAAAATTGCAGGTTGAAAGAACACTAACGCCCCTATGGCTGAATCACACACACACTGACACACAGAGGAAGGCAAATAAGAAAAAATAAACGCGAAAGAGTGACACTCGCTGGCTACAGAAGATTCATTGCAGCAAGTTCATGGACGGTGGGGCAACCCATCAGTTTGTACACGTACTGTACCTTGTGCATGTACTCCATGGACTGAAGAAATATCATCTCAAATGCCATCCGCTGTAATGCCAAGTCCGCCATGTGCTTTGTCAACTCATCCAACTCTTCCCGTGTCTCCACTGAGAGAAGCTCCCAAAGCAGCTGACGAACGAAAAAAGCCTTCTTCTCTTTGCTCTCATACGGCTGCCAACCAAAGTAGGCTTTGATACGCTGCAAACGTAAAGCGTCATACATTCTTTCACCGTTGCTTCTTCCCCAGCACTTCTGTGTAAAGTTAGTCATCATTCCCGCAGAGATTGGAGGAAACAGCTGCGTGACTAGGCGTGAAATGCGCAGTTTCCACATACGCTCCCCGCTATACCAAAAACCAAATGGGCTACGTCCTTGCAGTACATGCGATAAGGCCTGATGGGGTGGTTGCGTCAAAAAAAAAAGAAGCGCCTCCAGTTCTGCACGCCGCATCGCATCATCCATGACATGAAGATGATCCCATGTTGTATGACGGGTCGCGTAGTGGTGTACGCTGGGCGCTGTCATCATGCAAGAATGCAGGATTTCCTCACCTGACCAGTCCCGTGCGTGTGCGGCGTATAGAAAAAGAAAATACTGCAGGTTTGTGTGGTCGCGATCACCAATGTGCACGCCCATCGTCGCCCCTAGTGGCTCCTGACACAAGTGGCACCACCCGGTTTTGAGGTCCAGCCAAGCCTGTTTGTTGTTGCCCTCAAAAATGTCAAACGATCGCTCCGTCATGGGCGTTGTTGACTCCGGCGACGTACCACGTGTGCCAAGGCGGCAGTGTGCATCCATGGCGCCCAAACTCTGCCCAAGCGACGGACCGGTGCTGAGCGTGGCGGCCCCCACCAGTTGCCGCAGCGACTTGGACGAGGAGGCGGAGGAACAAGATCCCGTCCTGGCTACCGTGCAGACAGGGGTCAGCCTTGGTGCCAACAGAAGAGTCACTCGCCCGCAGCGCATGGCCTGAAGATGATGGGATCCAATCGCAGACCTATTCACGTGCCACCTATCATCGACAGCAAACCAAAAAAAAAAGAAAAACAAAAAATAAAAAATAAAAAAATAAAAACAAATGCTCAGCCCATGTACATTCGTGTGAACACATACAATGATGCATCTTCCATGTCCATTCTTCGTTGACATGACCACGCCGGCGTGGATGGCGCCCAGAACTTATTTATTTATTTATTTATTTATTTGTTTACATTTGAAGTCGAAAGGGAGAGAGAGAGAGAGCCGCTGGAAGACTCCCTAAAAAATTGATTTTTTTTTTTTTTTTTTGTACCCGTCATTTCCAGTTCCAACTGATATTACTTCGTCTTCGTAAGTTTCACTGGAGAAAAGGAAAAGGAAGGAGGAGGAGGATGGGCGGCCCTTGCGGACATTCCTTTCCTTGCAGGGTGCGAGGATGCCGCGACGAGTCGTTTGTACGCTTCCCACCCCCACCAACACGGAACGAAAAGGTAACAAAGACAGCCAAACACTATCGCAAACCAAAAGTACAGCAAATAGTGCGGTGTAAACTCCCAGTTATAGTCCACGTCAAGGTGTGGCATACCGCTAATTATCTCCTCCCCAATATACACTAAAGTGCCGTACGCCTGCGTCACACAGGTAAAAAATTCCAGTGCATCACGGTGTCTGCTGTGGGTTTGATAGGCCCTGTATAGCAAAATGCAAAGCGGCCCCTTCACGAAGAGTTCCATGAGGGAAAGAACATGCACCGCGGATCCTTCAAAGTTGCCCAACGCCGCACCGTAACGCTTGTCAAATTTCGCGTAGTTTCTTGCAAGGAGTGTGCTCGCCTTAAAAACACCAACGAGACCGTCCATGAAAATGTGAATCACCACGCCGTTAAGAAGATACCAGCGGGCCCGCATCCGCTCGTAGAATGTTGACAAGGGCGGGGAACGATACCTCCAACGGGCAATCTTCGCCTCGGCAACAGCAATAAAAAGCAGCGCTGCGGCAAACAACATTGCTGGCTCAGTCAAGTACCCAATGACATCTGCGTACGTGAGGTGCTCACGATCCACAAGGATAGGCACAAAAATGCAGGAAACGCAGAAGTATACAAAAGGATCCACAAAAACCTCCAAAAACATTACGTCGGCGGAAAGTTATATAAAATAATAATAATAATTCCTCTCAGAATTAAGCCCTACAGGCACCAAAGAACAGCAAAAAAAAAAAAAAGAGAGAGAAAAAAGGGCTCTCAACGGCTTAAAGAAGTGGAGTCAGTCCGCATCCTTCTTTTATCTTTCGTCGCCCACCACCACCACCGCCCTGCCTCTTCACAACTTTACATGCAATCACCGCTCTCCTCAACTTCCCCCTTCATTTTTCCCCTTTTTATCGTTCTTTCCTCTCTCCCCGTGTGTGTGGATCAAACAGCCATTCACCCTACTTGGGCAGCTGCCCGAAACGCAGCACCAACGGCTCCCACCCAAAGCCTTCCGTCGCCTCCCCGTTCCCCGCATACAAGAGGCACGGCGGCATCTCCCCGCTCCACGGCTTACGCCTCCACTTGCAACAAGTGAAATCCAGTCTGTAACGCCGTTGTCAAATCCGTCCGAAGCCGATATTCCCAGTATGACATCGCGCAAGGGCTTGGAAAGGATGGCGGAAAAATGATGCTCAGCACATCCGCCAGTACTTCCTCCTTCAGCAGTCGATCCGACAGTGTCGTGGTGGAGAGTGAGGGGGATGAGTTCACTTCAATCAGATGGGGTCGCAGGCAGTCATCAATGAGTATGTCATACCCGTACAGCTCAAAACAGTGCCTGTCGTTGAACATCACAGACTCCATAGCCCTAAGGCTGTGATAAATCGTAAACTCAATGCTCCGCATCAATCCATCCGCGCACACCGCCCCGTATCGACCCTGCACAAAGAGGCACAAATTCGCTAAAGACCACTTCCCGCCATGCACCTCGTTGTATGCATCCTCGCCCTTCTGCAATGCCACGTTCGTAAGGTGTGAGCAGAGATTATCATCCTTGAGGGCGTTGGCGACATAGGGAGTGGCACAAAAGCGGGCAAAGCCCTGCTCATGCAAGTACGCCACCAGTGGCTTAAAAGATGTTACAAGCACATAGAGACGCAGATCAAATTTCTTTCCACCAATCAAAAGTGGATTGGCAACGTACTTGGAGACAACAAACGTGCTCGCTGGCAATCCCTCCGCCTCATCCGCCTCCTTCCTCTCTTTAATCCACCTCTTTAGCTGTGTGATGCGATTGATGAGAAAGATGCCGCGACCCTGTGAACGAGATGTGGGCTTCACAATCCACGTGCTACACGGCTGCCGTCTAAACTCCTGTGTGAACATTTGGAAATCATTCGGAATGTTGTACGTCACGGGCACGCAATCTACAAAACGCAGCCAGCCGGATGGTTTCTCACTCCATTCGTACGGTGCCCGACATGGCGGCGTATACCGCACCATCAGCTGTGCGTTGTTGGGGTCTCGAATGTACTTCTTGATGTTTTTGTACATCAAGTCCTTCCGGGTTAGCTCATAGTGGTTCGGAAAGTGATTTATGATCTGCGTGTCGGTCAGGCGGTACTCCGCCGTGGAGAAAATGCTGCGCACGCGCCCCACATTCATCCAAAAAAAGTGCCAGTCCTCGGACATCACGTCTTCGTCCTCCAAAATCTCAATACTGTGCGGGAAACGCTGAAAGGCAAAGTGAATTACGTGCTTATCCAAGTCTGTGCGGTAGCGCAGAGGCGGGGTGTCGTCCCCCTTTGCGCGGTCCTCCAATAACGAGAGCGGCGTGCTGGTTGCCCCTGCCGTTGCGACAGCCGGTGCTGCCACAGAAGATGTTGTGAACGTTTTCTTTGTTGACATGACTTGGGCAGTCTTCAAGCTCCCATTTGCCTCTGTGTGCCTCGCACCCCCGTACTCACTCCAAGACTGCGCTGCCTTGTGCCGCATCGATCCTCACGCTCTCTAAGCGAAGAAACTTTCGTGGTGACAAAAAAAAAAAAAAAAAAGCAACAGGAAGTCTCTGTGAGTTGTTCCTAGCGATGTCCACGGCGACGCACCTTCGCCCACCGAGGGACAAGGGGGGAAAAAAAAGAGATAAAAACTTAATCGCAACAAAACGCACGTTGGAGGTGCAATTAATCAATTAATGAAAGCTCGTCGCCCCCATTTCCCTGCTCGCCCTCTTCTTCTTCTTCTTCTTCTTCTTATTCTTCAGCGCCGGCTGCTCTGATGGACTACCATTCACCGCCGCGCGTGTATTCCTACCGCACGTACGAGCAGCGCTAGCAGCCGTGTGATGATGATTTTCCGTGTGGCTTACTTCCCGCCGCCCTCTCTTTGCAGCCTTGCATCCGCCATTGGACGATTCATGCCGGTCTCCTTCCTCATCGGCACGTGTCATGGACAATGTTTCCGCCGACTCTCTGCGGCGCTTGCGTCCACATAATGCCACTTTGTCTCCTGCACGGGAAACACTCTTCTTTTTCTTCATTTGCCTCTCCTCCTGCCTATTGTTTCCTGGCGCCTCACCCCCGTCGTGCCGGAGGAGTTGCCTCACGTCTTCGTCCTCCTCCCCCAAGAAACGCTGAATTTCCGCAAGAAAAGCCTTGTCATTCTGGCGCAGCATGTGCCGCTTCGCCTCAGCGCTGCTCTCCTCGCTGCGTGACTGCTTCTCAACCAGCTGACGCTGGGCGTTAAGTTTCTTTTTCAGTCGCCGCAGTGTCTTCTTGTCACGCCCCTCCGGCATTACAAGGGAGGATGCCTTTTCAAGCGTCTTTTGCAGCTGTCGCGCCGCAGAGGGCTCCTCGCTTGACTGCATGTAAACTGGAATACGCCGCACCTCACCGTCACTGATGCCACGCTTGCATTTCTGACGCCGCCCTGCTTCACGGGCGGTGCTAGGCACAAATGGCTGCATGGTGGTCGTGACGTCACGATTGCCTGACGACAATGTCTCGGCCGCTCGGCAAAATGGCGATGAAAAGAGCAGATCCTTCACATACGAAGGGTATGTGGCTGTCACGTACTCAAACGACTCCGGCAGCGTGACACATTCAACGAGAGGAAGTGGTTCCTCCCGCTCAATCCTTCCTTTTGACGCCAGCATGCGATGCTGCTCATGTCGTGAGAGACGCCGTGGTGGCT